CTCTGTTAAGCCCCCCGGGGCTCATTTATTTCAAGCCCATTTGTGGGGGGAGTAGCGGACGGTGGGCTTATTTAAGAAGTGGGGGGGCTTAATTAATTTAGATGAGACGAGGGTATCAGTTCTCCACAGGACCCTCCTGTTCTCCATAAAGAACTAGAATACAAAGTGGAAAAGATGATTGGAGGTCATGCAGCCGAGGATCAAAATCCAATCCGAACTTCCAGTTGGAAAATAAACCATCCCGGATCAGTCCACACGAAGTTTTACTGTCGTAATTAATTAATGGAGTCTATCATTTATTAAGGAAGAAAAATTGGGGGAGGGGAGGGGCGCTTAATAGAGAAGGGGCTTATTAGAGGGAGGGGCTTACTTGAGAGGAGGGGCTCAATAGAGGATTTGCGGTAATAATTATTCTTATAATAATAAAGGAAAGTAAATGTTGGTGCTTGTCTAATATTTAAAGACAGACTGCTCCATAACATTGGAGCAGCAATCATAAACGCCCAGTCACCCATTGTCTTCGGCTTCGTTTTTAATGCGCTTCTCGCCAATAGCCGTGTATAGGACAATAAACGTTTATCCCTCGGAGGCATATGCACACTTAGGGCCTGTTTACAAGGAGGTAGAAGAACCCAGTTAGGTAAGGTTATCCTGCTCACTATAATCTCTCGTACGGTCACCCCACCTATCATGTAAACGAGATCAGATCTAAAATGAGGGATCATGCAAACAGGTGGGTTACCCCACCTACCTAAGATTCCCCACCTCCACGTAAACAGGCCCTATATAATGACTGTTAGTGCTTTTTGTTGTTGATGTTTGTTTTATTTGTCTCATCATTTTTTGATGTCACAAAGTAGAAAAAAAGACGCTGCTGGGGCCTGTTTCTCGAAAGGGCCGCAAACCTTTCGGTCCCGAAGGCAAATTTTAAAATCCACACCTGTTGAATAAGAAGCACAGTTCATAGCGCACAAACCAGTCAATTATGCTTCGTTAACTGATAGTTTCATTGTATTATTTTCAAAATTATTGAAACTTTGATCTTAAATGCAAACACGACAAACGCAAAACAAATTTTCGGGCCCGAAAGGTTAACGGGACTTTCGAGAACTGGCAGGCCACTGTTCCATGTTTTAACTCTTAATTGACTGGTACCAACCACAATTGACATTGACAAGAAATCCGTTCATTTCTTTCAATTTTTTTAAAAATTGCAATTAAAGAGAAAATGAAAATATAAGAAATAAAATACAATTAAAAAAGCGGAAATGAATACTCAATATAGAAAAAGAAATTTCAGCACAATAATATGGTCTATTAAAAACCAGGCTTAAATGTAACTACTATGGAAATTTTCTCTCCGTCAGTCAGTGTAGTTATTTGTGACTAAAAATGACAGAAAATAACCTTTAGTTGTAACCTGTTGTTGAAACGTAATTTTCTTCACTGATTTAAACAAAGAAATGCGATGCAAGATGTATCGCTCTACAAAATACGTGGCAAACGCTTGTTCTCTAAGCGTAGCTGACGATCATCTGGCCTGGTTTTCTTGAAGGCTTATTTTGAGTCTAAAGATGTCAGTAAGATTACTTTAATTAAATGGAATACTTACGATAAAGTCACAGCATAACTTCATTGACAGATAGATGCTTTTTTGTAACAATCCGGATTGTTATTTTAAGAGGGCTTCTAAAGTAAATATTATTTCAACAGGACACAACTTACGGCGTTATCTTCATGTCCACGAGGTCAAACACGTTACAACGAATTTATTACTCAATTTTGAAGACATTTATAAGGAAGCTTCACTTAGCCAATTTTTACTCACTCTTTTCTCTAATCTGACTTAAAAATGACAGAATGAGTGTACAGAATTATAATCCGCAAAGCAACTTAACGAATTCGTTAAGGAGTGTCTTGTTCGAGCCAGTACGGGAAGAGAGACAAAATAGACAAGCACGGTATGGATAGTAACTGAGTTCACGGGATCAAGAAGACATTTTTATGATAGTTGTTCAAATGACCAGTCATTGAAGGCTTTCCTCTTACCCATAAAACTGAATTCAATAAAAACTATTTAGAATTACAACTTTTTTTACACTGATAGTGGTTTACTATCTAGAGAGTAACGCTTAAGAGGTGTTTTCTTTAATGAATGATCACAGGTCAAATGCTAGACATTGAGGTAAGAAAACCAGATAACAACAAGAAAAATCATTGAAAGCTACTGTCACATTATCTTTTAAATTTACTCTAAGTTGAAGCTTCTTGCAATCTTTACGGATAGCACAAGACTATAAACTATCATTGTCAAAGCTGTGTAACTTCAGAGACCTGCGCTCTCGCTGTGATAGAAAACGGGTGGAGAAAGACGAGCTTCCATAACTGCCGACATCCGAAAGGAGTTGTTAAAAAAATATATGTTTGTGCCTTCTTTTTCACTAATTTTAAAATGGACTCAAAATTCTTGGTGCAATTTCGCAGAGTATAAGCAAATGAAATACAAACCAGTTCCAAACTGTCCAAATAGTGTCACTTTATCTCAGTGTCTTGGAGTAAAATAAGACAGCGTTCGACCATGAAGATATATACAACTAATACTCAAACGTTAAGTCAATGGATCAAGAGCTACGTAATTGCCGAAAAAATAAGCAAGATTCCAACTAATTTCCCTCCCACTATTTTTCTTACTATATTGAGATAAAGGAGTTTTAAAGTAACAGTAGACCTCGATGATTTGGGATCAAAGTGTTCGAGTACTTGGCGGAAACAAAACGGTTTGCATGCGGAAGCTTCGACTAGTTCATGGTACGGGAAGTCTGTTTAAAAAGTTTTCTTACCCAATAAACCGTTTTTGTATCTTAAAAGATTAATAACGCGTTAACTAGAGTTTTAGATGTTGTTGGTTCCAGGAAAACGGAATCATAATACACTTGTTAATCACATGGAACCAAAATATAAAAACCTTAAGAAAAAAAGTCAGATTTAACTAGACTGCGCCCATAAAATCTAATGATGGGCTATTATAGTGAGATCCACTATTCATTTAAATGGTCTTTGTTAGTGTTAGGTCTAGTGTAAAAACAAATTAACTATTTATTAATCTTGAGTGAGTGAAATACAGTGATCTTGGTAGTCGTGTTTCATTTTCACACGAAAGATTTGCTCGCGAAAGAAGTTCCCAAGAGATTCAAAGACGTTGTCTAAACTGGTTCACCTTGGAAATAGGTTAGTATATTGCTCATTAACTATTTGCTTTTTTTATATTTCATGGTATTAGAAGTAAAACCATGGCTAAGCTAAACGTTCACTAAGATATCACAAAGCAAATGTTAAAGAACTGAAAGGTGTAAGTTCAAGAAACATGATGCTGAGCAAGGCGAAATATTAAAAATTATTTAAAAGCTGACGGTGACTTTCCTTTTAAGAAATTTGTTATTTTTATTGATCTTTATGTGGGGCGCAGCCATCTATCGGCTTCGCCGTCCGTTGGTAAAGCAAGAAATTATATTTCGTTCCGTTATTTTTTTTAAAGACGTAGCAAGGATTCGTGACCTTACAACAAAAAAAAAGTAATCACTAGGAACATTTGTAGGAATTGTGAACAATTCAAATTCAGTTTACCCTGGTACCTTTGGTTAGTATTGATATCACTTATGTACTCTTACAGAATTGGGTACACCAGATCATTCATAATGCCTTAAAAAAAACCCAAATGGCCCAAGGAATTTTATTCCTGAATGCGAGAAACAAAACAAAAAAATTTTAGTGTCGTTGAATTTCCCAATTTTGATTTAAACCATTTCCAGTTCATGAATACGTTTAAGAATATTGTTGAACAAATGTTATCTAATGGCAAGTGTTAATCAGGATCATTCATTGGCAGACAACAACGCGTAACAATTCTTTCATATCACAGATTCTCCCTGTTTTACAGATGCTACGATAATTCTTAATTCATATATCTATCTTTACACGTTCTGTGAACAGCAATATATTTTGATTTATTTAATCATTGAATGTGTCATATTTAGGACAATCAATAGTGCAAACTGTTAATGATCGCAACGGAATTGCTTGTTTTGCCGAGTGTAGTGTTAGACATAACAATAAAAAATGGCCCCCGTAAATATTCGCTTTAAGAATTTTGTTGTTACGGGCTTAAGAAAAAAAAATATAAATATTCTTTTCCAATACTGGCACCAGTTTTCTCGTTGTTTGTGCCAGTACCCGCTGAATCTCAGCATGAAATCTTTAAACAAAGGATGGTTACGAGAAGAAGAAAATACCAAATAAAGCCAGCTACATCTATCAGATTAGGTCATCTTTCACTGGATACTTATATTACTGAAACAAAAATAAAATACCATTTCAAATCTCAGGTCTATTCATCCCACATCCACTCCCATCTGATCATCATCATGGGGTTTCTCTCCATTGTGGTCTTTGTTGGAGCTATCTGTTGCTCGACTACGTCTGCATCGTTCACCTCTACCGCAACAAAGTTTGCCAAGGCAACCATGGTGCCAAACACCCTCCTTGGTGCCTACTCGCGTTCCAGTACTGTCGCCTCCTTGTCACTGCTGGAACAAGAAAAACTGGCCGAAGCCAAGGAATCTCTTGCTCAGTCAGCCTTGACCTTGGCTCTGTTGGACGTTGGAGGAGGAGCAGTCCTACCTGTCGCAGAAGAAATCACAAATTACGTCAAAACCCATCGAGATTTTGCAGGCACCAGAGAAGCATGGCGAACTTACAATGGTCTTGTATCTGACGAAGCTGCCAAGGCAGGAAGTGAGGTGGTCGACAAACAAGCTATCTGAGGAGCCAAACGAGCATTAAAGAAAGCGCTGAAAGCCGATGTCAGTAAGTTTTCGCGTACAAGTAAAGTTGGTAAAGCTTTTGCTAAAGCGGGCAAGTGGTTGAAGGGAGCATCGGTTTTTGATGTTCTCGGGCCAATCACCGATACTCTATCAATTGGTCTGAACATCTGGGGTCTGGAGATGGCCATCAGAGATAATAATCCTGCTGGCATCGCTGCCGCTTCCTTGAGTATCGCCGCTGGCGTTGTCGGGCTTACGACTTTCTTTGCTGCGATAATAACGGGTTCAACAATCCTTGGACCAATTGGGGCCATAGCTGGGGCGCTTATTGGAATTGCCGCTACCCTCATCGAACTTTTTGGCGGGCCAGGCTACGACGTGGAAGCAGTGGAGGCACATAGGGATCGGCTTCGACAGCTGAGGAGGCTGAGGGACGCCTGCGGTGCTCAAATCGTCACGCGGATGGACTTCTTAGAGAAAACAGGCACGCTTTTCACTGATGTTTATGCCAACAATCAGGCATCTTTGCTGTACAGCGTTCGTAGTGGGCAATTAAAGATGTACGATTGTTATCATAGGCGTCGCGGGTTATACAGGAACCCCGGCTGCGACGAATTGCAATATGATAGCTCTTTACACCTTCGTAAATATGTAGGGCCTGATTTATCGCCACATAACTCAGTTGATACAGCAGAGGAAGAGTTACGAAATGTATCAAATGTTTGTATGGGTAAATATCGTGGAATAGTTAGTCCATATATGCCTTTAGAGGAGAGTTCTACTGGCTGGGGCAAAACAATTGATTTCATCGGGTTTGATTTCTATGGAAGATTTAAAAGCGGCACATCCTATGGAGGTGCGTTTGTTTTTATTAATACGAGCTTTGTTTCAGGGGAAATTTTAAACGGTATTGATATCGATACTTACATACCAAACGATGACGTAGAGCAAAATGACGTTACCAGTATTGACGAATACCGAAATTTTCGTATAAATCAGGAGATTAAAATTCAGACTGGAAGTGGAACAGATTGTTTGAACATTAACGGTATGATAGGAGAGTTTAATAGCAGTTACGTTGATAAGTTAAAGGTTGTTTTGGGAGGTGGACTATTTAATGTACTGTCTTTTCAAGGAATTTCAAAAGACAGAAAAGATATAAAAGGAGTCTTTTTTGACTCTAAAGAAGGTATTTTGAAATATTATCACGGACATAATAGGAACACACACCAACTTGGCACAGTCGAGAATGTTTGGCTATTTAAAGGGTCGCCATTTGATGATCACGTGATACTTTATACTACTCACCACATTGACAATCCCACATTCAGAGTAATCCAAACATCCGGACGAAATGTCTATGAATTTAATTTTGATGACTTGACTGACTCAAATTTTTACTCCCGAAAATTCCAGATCGTTGATGAAAGTGACCATCCTCCAAAAATAATTATGAGAACCGCACATGCTAACAAACTTGATCGCAAGTATATGATTTTAGAATACAAAAGACTAACTGTTTATGATAAATCGACTGGCAGACCTGTGTTAGAAATTGAATTGGATACAAAAAATACAGGGAACGTGTTCATTAACGATGCAGACCCTATACCACTTGATCACGCACACATATCCCCATGGCCTCACAGGCTAAACGCGAACATAAAATCCTTAAGTTTCCCTCCTTTTCCAAGCAATCTTCACTTCGGAGATGGTAATGAGCTTTTACTTTTGAAGTGGCGAACTAGTCATGACCAAAATTCCGCTGACCTTGTGATTGACATGAAGGGTGGGGAAAACTTCTTAATCATCAGCGACAAATATTTTCTTGATCCTTGTGGTGTTGATGGTGAAACGGTAACCCTCACTTTGAAAGCGGGGTCAGTGACGGGGGCATATACAATTTCCATTGAAAACACTGATGATGCAAATTTTTCTTTTAATATTGAACTACGAAATATGTACAAGATAATTAACGAGTATGGTAACCAACTGGTTTACATGCGGAGCCATGAGGGTTATTCTCCTCCTGTCCCGATGGACCTCTATGATAAGTACATGGAAGTAACCCGTGAGACGTTAGAAATTAAGACTACTGAAAATGTCCTGGAAGAAGATTAACCTTTCTTTCTCCTAACAATCCATAAATCATAATGAGAAAAAGTTATGAAAATTAATTTGATGATCTCATAAGGGGAAATTTAATGTTCTTTTAACAAATTCTATCAACTAAAAATGTGTGAAGAACAGTCTGTAGACGATTTGAATATGGATTTCAGGATACAAGTGGAACCTCGATATAACGAACTTCTATATCACGAAGATCTTGGTAAACGAACTATATTTTTCGCCCCCAATAATAGCAAAATAAAGGGAAGAGAAGCTCAATTTAACAAAACATCGATATAGCGAAGATACGTTGCCAGTCCCTTGGCCCTTTGTTATATCAAGGTTCCATTGTATAAAAAGGGTTACGATACTGCATGTGCTCAACAATTTGATTATCTTCTGTAAAAATTAAGGTTTGATAGTTTTGGTAGTTGATATAGTATATTCATGTTCGTAGGTGAAAATAAATGAAATGTACGGTCTGAAACAATCTGTGAGTTTGTCTTGTTTTTATGATTTTATAGTTTGTATTTCGGTATATTGTTCTATGACTGAGTGTATGCGTGTTCATCAACGATTCTAAGCGTCCTAACCTGAGCTATACCACTTGATCACGCTCACATATCTCCCTAGCCTCACAGGCTTAAAGCGGACATAACGTCTTTAAGTTTCACTCCTTTTCTAAGCCGTCTTCAGTTAGGAGATGGTGATGAGTTTTTACTTTTGAAGTGGCGAACTGATCATGACGAAAATTAGCTGACCTTGTGATTGACATGAAGGGTAGGGGACATTTTCAATCATCAGGAAAAAGTTTTCTCTTGATCCTTGTGGTATTGGTGATGAAACAAACAGTCACCCCGTTTCGACAACTTATGCGGTAGTCATCTTTAGAGTCAAAGTGAGTTGTATCAAGTCAGTTGATGGTATTGAACTCTGGTTATCGACCTGATTAGTCAGTTAAGTCGTAATGTTATTTGTTATTTGTCTGTCAGTTAAGCCTTGTTAATTTGTAATTGCTTTTGAGCAATTTATTGCAATTTAAAAATTGCAATTACCACCGCGACGATCATATCTTCGGTTGAATTTATATTCCGCCGCTCACATCACTGATCATTCTATGTTTTATTCCTCTCACGGGTTAAGCCAAGATGAAATCAACAAATTGGCCTGCTCCCAATGTATGAGAAAATCACTGTTCACCAGCATTCCACTTCCAACAGGCTCTAGACTGCACTGAGAATTCTATTCAAGAACTCTACTGCTGAACGACCACAACCTGCAGACGACATTATGGACCTCCTCGACCTCTGCATCCCTAACGTCGACGTACTTTCAGTACAACGGCAAAAACTACAAAAAAGTTGCACGGTACAGCTATGGGCTCTCCTGTTTCTGTTATTGTAGCAGAAATTGTGAGGAACTAGCCATAGCTACTTATATGCGAACTGTACCTCTTTGGTTAAGCTACGTTGACGAGACTTTTACATTTGTACCACTGTAAATCCAGACAAAGTCGACGATTTTCACGAACACCTTAGACAGAAGGCGGACATACAGTTACCAAGGAATCGAGGAAAATGGTAAAATACCTTTTCTCGACTGCTTGGTGACTCTCGACAACAACAGACTAAGAACGACAATTTACAGGAAACCGACACACCAACAGGTTACTGGACCAGTAATCATACAACTATGCAGACTTTCACAATTACACGGACTACACGGACTTTGACCAGACGAGCGTTTACAACTAGTTTGCGACTTGCCTGGTAGTCTACAAGACGAAACTGACTCCCTAAACATCGTTTTTAGTAAAAATAACTACAACGCGGACGTTGTTAGACGAAACAAACGCAGTAACGCAGATTTCAGCACTCAGCACACCAACGTTAACGCTGGCCCAGTTACGACAGCGATTATGGCGTACATCAGAAGCACCTGTGAAACTATCGCACGTACACTACAACAGTACAACACACGCGTTGCACACAAACCGATAAACACTTTACGACGGCTACTTACTAATTCATATTAAGGACAAAGACAAGCGGAGACAGACAGGGAGCAGTATATAACACCACATGCTGCGACATCCAGGCCACTTACATTGGTGAAACCGGCAGAAACCTTGGCACGTAACTGACTGAACACAAACAAGCGACAAGAAATTAGCTGGTTACGTCAACAATTACAATTAAAACAAAAGCGCCATGCTGGAGATCGAGGGAGGCGCTAGACTGTTCACAGTCCCCTATTTTTTCTGTGAGATCGCAGAGATTGAGCGCGTCTTACCTTTAATGGCAGCCATCTTGATTTTCAAATGTACCGAGCGGGCGGGAGTCGGAAATTATTCTCGCTTCCTCCCTAACCGCCCCCCTCCCGCCCCCTAAGTAGTTTTGACACTCATCCAAGATGGCAGCCAGTAAGGCAAAGCTCAAAGTTCTGCCTTTTCGTAGTGATCCTGTTCGAATGCCTTGTTCTTTGCAAAATAACCATTCCTAGGTACTGAGCTCTTGCAAGGAGGGGGGCTAATGAATATGCCTGAAATACAGTTGTAGAAAAATACGTTTTCAAGTTGTTCCACTAAAATTCGTGTAATAAAACTTCGGGGTGCTGGCAAATCGTCTATTTTAAGAAACTGAAAAAAGCTTCTTTCGCAACAACCACGTGCTACAAACGCGTTTAAAGAGCTCAAATAGAGATCATCATACCTCCTTTAACTGGAACAATCTTTGGATGCAGTCTTCTTCTCTAATATATAATATGAGATATTCTGCTTCTTGAAGACCGGGCTTACATACTTTTAAGCCTTTGGGGTAAAGGAATGGAAGGGTGTGCAAGCCTTTTGTTTTATTACCGTACCACGATGCTCTCATCTATTAGGGTTAATTAGTTGTAGTTCTTTATCTTCAAAATTACTGGTTTTCTTTGAATGCGCCTAAACTAAGATCGCGTGAACTACTGCTTCCAGAAAATCGTGTACTTCCAAGCTTTCTTCTTAACTGACTAGTCTTCATGGAGCTTTTTCGAATGTTTCAGGAGGGCGTAGGTAACCTTTTCGTCCATGCGTAAGCTTACTGCTACTGCTTCTTGAAGACCGGGCTTACATACTTTTAAGCCCTTGGACCTAAATTATTAAAACTAGCTGAGCCTGCCATTGTCTCTCCCTTGACTGGTCTATTCTCATTCCGTGCTCACCTCGGAGAAACCTTCACTGATTGGAAGAAAGCTCGTCTGATCCCGGTGTATAAAAAAGATGATGAAGCGGACACAAATAACTATAGACCAATATCGCTTCTTAGTGTTCCAAGCAAGATGATGGAATCTTGTGTATCTGAATCTGTTGTTCGACATGTTTTCCAAAATAATCTGGTTACAGATAAACAGTGAGCTTACCGTGAGGGCCATTCTACTTAACTATTGCTTGTACACCTGTCAGAAATCTGGAGAGCAGTTATGGATGCCAATAAAGTGGTTGCTGTGGCGTTTGTTGACTTCAGAAAAGCATTTGACTGTGTATCTCATGCTATCCTACTGCATAAGTTGAATCTTCAATTTGGAGTTCAAGGTTCTCTTCTATCATGGCTGACAGACTACCTAACTGATCGAACTCTATTCTCGGTAGTAAACGGCCAGCACTCAACTGTGCCAAACGTCACTTTCGGGATTCCCCAAGGATCAGTACTTGGCCCAACGTTGTTCGCCTTGTACACCAATGACCTACCAAGTGCTGCTACCTCCGGCTCTGTCTTTATGTACGCAGATGAAACCACCGTTTATTGCATCGGGGACACTGTTGATAACACTGTCACTTCTTTAAATAAAGCTTTATCGGAATTGAAAAGTTGGTGCCTAGAGAACTCTTTAACCCCTCACTCGGCAAAGTGCGAAGCTATGCTGTTGATGAGAAAACCGCACATCGGGCCGCTAAATTCTGTGACTATTGGAGAGGATCGGATCGAGTGGGTGAAACACTTTCGTCTTTTGGGCGTTACTATCGATGACAGGCTTTCCTGGTCACGTCACCTTACAGATGTAAAAAAGAATTTCGTAAAGAAGCTGAACCTACTGAAAAGGAGTTTGTTCTTGAGCAGAAACGCCCTATAGGACTTGTACTTCAAGATAATATTACCATCAGTTCTATATGGACTAGTCGTTTGGGGCGGCTGCCCTAATGCAGAGCTTCTACATTCTCTGGAAGTACTTCACCGTAGGGCAGCCAGAATAACATACAACTTGCCCCGAGATATGCCTAATGAGGAAGTTTACCGACATTCGAACTGGAATGCTTTAACCCTCTATTATAAACTTCGATTAATTAAACTACTCCATAACGTGTTTATAGGTGAAGCACCTACGGCTCTTTCATACTTGACAAATAAACCCTGCACTGCATACAACTTCAGAAGGAGTAATAACATAATCGTCCCGCGTTTTAACTCGCAGTTTCTTAAAAACTCTATTAGCTATAGAGGCGCTATTCTTTGGAGCGCTGTCTCGAGTCATTTCACAGACCAGTTTACTGCTTTTTATCGCAAAGTGAGGAAAGACTCTTATTTTAAGGAACTTGATTTTAGCGCACAGTCGGTCCAGTCGCTGCCCAGGCACTACCAAGATTTTAAATGCTTTTAACTATTTTTATGTTTTAAATGCTGTAGTCAATTTACTTAGAGGTAACTAATGTAAATTCATTTTAACCTTGTATTTTTTAAAAAATTTATTTTAATTTATTTCTTTATATATTTTTTGGTTAGAATCTTACTGCATATTTTTAGAGTTTTAATTGTAGTTGTATTTTGTAAGTGATGTCATTCTTATTTTTATACAGTTTTATCCATTTGTAATCATTTTTATACGACCCCACAAGCTTTGAGCTTTAAACCATATCGTGTTTAAATAAAGGATATGTATGTATGTATGTATGTATGTATGTATGTATGTATGTATGTATGTATGTATGTATGTATGTATGTATGTATGTATGTATGTATGTATGTATGCTAGAGGTAATCATTGATGACGGATCCGCGTTCGTCACTCCAGGCGAAAGGAGTCCAGTTTTCCGGCCGAGATGCCCCTGATAAAATCAGTAGATATAGGGGCGGCTAATCGGCAGTCGACGTTGATATCTCGAAAATTTGTGGCTTTGAACCACAGGAACACCAAGATCAAGATGCGTGCTAACAGAAAAATCCTTTGTGAATAATGTCAGCAAGGAGACTTTTAGAATCATATTTTGCGTCTGCTTGAGTACTGTACTTTCTTTGTAACCCCATTAGCGTTAATTCCCTGGATAAAGAAATCTATTTATTTATTTTTTATTTTATTAGCTTCAACTGTTACTGAACAATGAATAATAAATAAGTGTTTAGTAGGCAGGGGTGCCACAACAGCGGTGAGCTAATTCCAGTGGTCCCAGTTGGTTAGTTATATCTGTACTTTTTAAGTAAAAAAGAGAGGTGAAAACCCACAAAATTGTGTTTGAGAAATGAATGTGTTTGTGGCAGTCACTCTGGAATATTGGACAATATTGAAACAAAAGAGAGGGTTAAAGACAAGAGTTCAACTCCCACGGGATTGGTTTGGTACATCAATATGGCCGTCGTGTCATGGGCAAGGGTCACAATTTTTGTTTTTCGAAGAAGAGAAGGACGTGTCTTTAACAGGTGAGGAAAGGGGAGGCCATAAATTAAAAATTCCCCAACCCCTCTCTCTCTCTACCCCGCCCCCATCAAAAAAAATAAATAGAAATGAAAAAAACACGCACCTCCGTGTCCCGGGGGGGGTACTTTAGGAATTTCTGGGTGGGGATGTGCCGCTGGGACCCTGGAACCCTTAACCTATACCAGAGCTAGTTCAGCTGAATTTTGCTACCCTATACTAGAGTAAACTCCCCAAATCCCCCTATTCTAGAGTAGCTGTTTCCCTTGTCCAGATAGAATCTTCAACAAACTGATCAGTTTCCTGAAAAATGATACCCTATTCTAGACCCAAACGCTCTGATTTATATGCCCTATCCTAGAGTAAACTGCCCGAAAACCATACCCTTCACAGCGGCACATACCTATATAGCCGTTATATGGCAGTACCCCCCCCGGGCTCCGTGTTTTTCAGGAGTACGTTGAATATGACTGAGTTCGTGCACATGCAGTTGTGGGTAGGACTGTTAATAAGGAATGAGATTCAGGCTTCGGGCTTGTGACGGAGTGAGTGTCTGAAAGCAATTCAGGCATTGTGAAGCGCAAGGCATCCTGCAGCTTTATTGCACTCGCTCATACGGAGTTGCAGATTTTCAGGTCCAAAGCTAAGCTAAAATTCTCATCTTTTCTCATACTCATGTGAATTCTAAAAGGGTTAGAACCCAACCGCTATGTACAACGTTATAAACAGCACCACGGGAAAGTACTGCTAATTAAGGTAGCAGTCATTTGAATGGCAATACTTTAGACTCAAAAGATAGAACTACCTTGTACAGCATAAAAAACAGCACCACAGGAAAGTACTGCTCAGTAGCTTTCATTTGATCAGTGGTCAGACTTTAGGATTTCATCCAAAGACGCAAAAGTTAGAACCACCTTGTATGGCATAATAAACAGTACCAAAGAAAAGTGCTGCTCTGATTGGGTGAAAATTTGATTTGTTTCATTGATTTTTTATATAAAAAATTCAAATACATAAATTTAATCAACTGATCTGTTTTATTGAAGCGCCTCTTAGTTACAATTTGGTTAATTAAGCATGAAACTGGCTTTTTTCAATACATTTGTCTAGAAGACTATTACTTAATTTTAACTGTATTACGACTTCCAGTGGCAAACGCTTCACTCCACACCAAGTCCCAGCCATGTTTTAGAAATTTTGGGGACGTATCTTCATCTCCGACCTCTTTAAAGAGTAGTAGTTGTTCTTCCAGTGGTACCAGCACATTCCTATAGAGTCGTCCTTACCACTGAGGTACAGACCATTCAGATTGGAGGAGTGACAACTGTTGTACCACCATCCGCCTTTATGACTCAAGGCACAGTTACCACTGTTCTTGTCACTATCGCGATCCTTGGTAGAAAATAGCATAGCGCGATGATAGCCAAGCGAATCACCAGCGGTTCCTACGAAAAGAAATAAAAAAGGAAAATATAGGTCTTATTTTTATCGTTCATTTTTCGGAGAATTTTTGCAAACGGGTAATTTCACTTCAACGTAATTGAACAATGTCCACGTTCATAGTATTCCAGATTGAACGAATTTCACGTATTTTTTCCTTCATCTGTTGTTTCTTTTTTAAAGCGTTAGATGGCTCCTATAATTTAATAGCTTATGAAGTCAGTCGGTAAATAGATATAAAAAAGAAAAGAAAAAAGAAACAGAAAAATCATCATTTTTACTACTTTTTGATATGATCTTATTTTTGTAAGTAAGGTTAATGGTCAATTCTTGTTGTAAAAATCAACGATAACTTCCACTTGCTTTTGCTTATCAGTACTATTTTAATTTGCCAATCGAGTAACCTACCTGAATAACTTCCCAAATTCAGTTGATATTTTGCTCTCTCGCTTGTCACAGAAAAGGAGCTGTACTCGGCAAATGCGGTATTTCCATGATTGTCTTCCAAGTCGACACGGAGTTTATAACCAGCGCTTACAGTCAGTCGATGAATCTTGTCCAAACCGAGCCAGAACTCACCGTTCAGATTGCCAAAACCGCGTTTGTAATCATCCCAAGCACGGAAGAAATCAACGGAGCCATCTCGCCTCTTCTGAAACACCGTCCAACCTCCACCGGCTGTTTTCTGATCACAGAACACCTCAAATTCGCCCAAACCATCAGGATTGATTTTGTACACTCCACTGATCTTGTCACCGGACTTGTAGACTTCAGCGCAGTTCTTGTAAACTGAAAACAAAATGACCATCTGATTGAATTATTATTTTTTTGTTTTGTTTTCGTTTTTTTTTTTTTCATAGGCGTTATTCTTCAAGGTAGACATAAATAATTTGTTGAGAAAATAGTCTTATGAAGAACTTATAAAATAAGAGATAAAATAAGAATACTTGTTCTATTTCAGCGACATTTTGCAAGGGGTTTTGATGGTATTTTAGAGAGACATTGATGACAATAAGGACCACTTTGCTCATTTCTAGTACATATTAAGTTGTTGTTACAAACCTTTTCCGTTGTCAGACCCATTAGTTTTATTTTCTCTCAATGCCCTGATTTCCTACCGTATTTCCCCTAGTTGTTGCTCGATTTTCTTGCAGTTTGGTCCGGCGTAGAAGCTGTTGTAGTTATTATTCACGTTGCGGTGAGCTTCCTTCGTCGGTTTAACTGTAGAGTTGGCAAGCGTTGCGATAAAGTAAGGAAAAAGGATAGCTCCAACAAAATATTTCATCTTACTCTTATGAGCAGTTTCAAATGGTATTGTAAAATTTAGGTAAGAAATGATGCAAAGCCTTCCGCAGAGCCTTGGTATAGGTTCTAATTTTTAGACAAGATTTTTCTCGTCTGTGTATTTTTAGTAGGTGCTGTGTCACCTATTATTACCAATAAAATTACTTAACATTTGCATAGAACATCGTGTGGCCGAACAATAAATATTTATTCATGCATCATAATGTATACTTGCATACCTTTGCGTTAGCGGTGTTTTGTGAAACAGAACTCTGAAGAGTAAAATCTTAGGTTTAGGTTTTACATTGAAGAATCTAACCCGGTAAAATATTTCTGTCAGTTTAAGGGCAGGATGCTGAATCATCGGCACTTGTTGGCGCCGCGTTCGTTTAAGTTCCTCTTTGCTTGAACATACTTTAATATTAGTTTACCAACTGTTGGAGTATCTCATGTTTACGTTTTAAAATCTTGCTTCGTCCGGTCTCGCTATCCTACTGCTATAGGATAATGTAAGGTTTGCAGTCACTGGCGGAATAACCCGTGCTGGAAAGGGTGGAGTGGATACTTATAGGGGATGAATGCACTCTTCAGTCGGCCTCAAGCATTCCTGTGTAGGCTGTTATTACAACGGCCTCTTAATGCTCCCCTCCGCTGGCACTCTTCGCGAGCGGCGGTGAGCTCTTAGAAACGATTGTATTCGCAGGCTAGCTCGAGTGGAACGCGGAGAAAAGCGCAAAACCCCGAGTAGCTTTGACCACAATACATGTATATCGAATGAAAATCTCATTGTACGGCCGTGATCCACACAGTACACTACACACTGCGCTTCCTTTAGGATTCACGGAACATTAGGATGACCTATTTCCACAGAAATACGCCGAAAAGGAACTCGTGGAGAAAATGTTTAAAAAAACGAAAGTCTAAAAGAGACTATCAACTTTGCAAACTCGATTCTCTCCGACACGTTCTAGTCAAATGAGACAAATTATCTATCATTGTATTTGAAAAATAAATGCGACTGTGTAGTTACTGTAGGTCTAATAAAGCACTCCAAAGGATATGCTTGAAGTAACTTCTAAACTAAACAGCATGACTTTATACGCTACGTGTTTTTTTGTGTGTGTCTTCCGTGGTTGGTGATAATCGGCGAATTACACTTTGAAGCTTTATCCCAGGAAAACCGAGTATTAAAATACAATATTGATTTACAAGCTCCTTTTCCGAAACGCGAAAGTCGATGGGTAAAGGAGACGGGCGGCTGGATTCATGAAAAAAACAAAGGGGAATTCTAAGGACAAAGGAAGTTATAGTACGAGTGATTATACAGAGGTCAAGTGTGACGAGCTTGTATCCTTTATTCTTATTTTGTGTTCAGTAAATAATTCTATTGTTTAGTTTGACGGATTTTCATTTCAAGAACGTGACAAGCGCAAGTATCAAGAGTTTCCTTTCCGATTTAATTTGACTATGAAATGAACAAATTCCACCACGCAAGATAAGAACACAGCATTTAATGTCTTAGCTTCCTTCCACACTGCAAAGATTCTGAGTCGTTACATACAAACTGTGTGGTTTTATTTTATGCTGAGCGGCAATATGGCCGAATGAACAGTAACATGAGCTTCGCAAGGCATCATGGCCAAAACACCGGAAATACAAATAACGGAAGTGCCAACCGATTAAGGTACTATAGAATCATTACATCCCTCCTTTCCTATAACCTTGAAAAACTGGATAATAGTCTAGAGGTGCATTAACCTAATTCAGCGTCTACAAGGTACATGATCTAAGTCAATGTCGATTTTTTTTTCTCTACAATAGCTAAACGCAACAATACTATTATGACCGTTTCAAAGTGTTCTCAAGAATCACAGCTGGTTTGACTCAGTTCCTACAGATCCAGTCTCTCCGGGGGTTTAATCAGCCTGCCACTGCGAGTTGTGTAGGTGTCTGGCGATGTGATGGTTTCATTCCTCAGAGGGTTTAAACTGGAGGATGAATGCAGACTAGGGGAATCTTTGGATGACGACTGCTCATTCCAGTCAGGTTCTACTGCTCTGTTGTCCTGATGCGCTTCTCGTATGTGGGCTCTGTTGCGCCTCAGCTCTCTACCAGTTGCAGTCGTGACAGCGTATGAGCGGAGAGGTCCAACTAGTCTTTACCTCAGCCGGTTTCCATTTCAGCGATGCTGGATCTTGAATGGTGATCCTTTGTCCTGGGGCAAGTTCTGGGAGTGGCTTTGCAGATCGATCATAGTAGTGTTTCCGCAGTTGCTGTCTTTCGATCAGCCTGTAGATAACTTCTTCGCTTGATGGGTCCCTTGAAATCTTCCTTGGGAGGTTGTCTTGGATTGGGCGCTCCAATAGTAACTCGGCAGGTGAGGGAAGTTTGTGGTCAACAGGAGTAGCTCTTAGACAAAGAAGCGAAATGTCAGGGTCTGATTTGGTCATTTTCGGCTTCAGTAGGGCTGACTTCACTGACTTGACTTGGCTTTCGATAAACCCATTGCTACGAGGGTAGTGGGAGGAGCTTGTAATGTGCTTAAAACCGAGGTCCCGAACGAACTCTTGGAATGTTTGGCCGTTAAAATGCGGACCGTTGTCAGTTCTTACTACCTCGGGGATGCCTTGCTCGCTGAACAGCTGCCTCATTATTTTGACTACTGTGCTGCTGTTGCTTTGCCCACTCGGTATATTCCCAACAAAGGGGTACTTTGAGTAATAATCTGCAACTACGAGATATTCGGAGCCATTAAGAGCGAAGAGATCAGCACCAATGGTGTGCCATGCCCTGGGAGGTACCTCTGTGGTGATTAGAGGTTCCTTTTGTTGGCTATGCTGGAGCTCCTCACACGTACTGCATGTTTTTGTGGTTTCTTCTATGTCCTTGTACAAGCCTCTCCAGTAGACATTTCTAGCTCTTAGCTTGGTTCTCTCGGTTCCTTGGTGTGGTGCGTGTAGTTTCGTCAAAATCTCGTTCTGCAGCGTGGCAGGAATGATAATACGGTGGGCTTTCATGACTATTCCGTCTTCGGTGGCTAGCTCGTTCCGGTAGGGCCAGTATGGCTTTAAGGGTGTTGGGACTTGCTGGATGTGTGCAGGCCAACCCGCGTGCACCATTTCTTTTAGTGCATTGAGCTCCGCGTCCAAGCTGCTCTGTTCTTTGATCTTCTGCAACATGCTGCTACTAAATTGAGGAAAGATCTCGTGTATTTTGACGTTCATTCCGGGGATAGGGTCTTGACTCTCTGGTGATAATCTTGACAGGGCATCAGCCACTTCCATGTCTTTGCGTGGTTGGTAGCGAATGGTGAGGTCATATGGTTACAATCTTAGCAACATCCGCTGAAGACGCGGGGGAGCAGCTGTCAGGTGTTTCAGGTGGATGCTTTCGAGGGGCTTGTGGCCAGTGTGGATGGTAAAACTTCGGCCGTACAGGTAGGTGTGGAATTTCTCGTAGCCGTAGACAACAGCAAGCAATTCCCTTTCGATGTTTGCGTATCTTGACTCGACATCTGTTAGAGCTTTACTGGCGAAAGCGACAGGTTTACGGTCTTGTGTGAGGGAAGCACCTAGGCTTTTCATGGAAGCATCAACTTGAAGAATAGTTTCTTTCATTGGATCGAAGTATGTCAGAGTGATTTCGTTGCTGATAGAGTCTTTGATCTTATTAAAAGACTCTTGGTGCGCTGCGTACCATTTAAAGCGGTTGTCCTCTTTCAGAAGCTCACGGAGTGGGGCCGTCAGTGTAATCAGGTTTGGGATAAATGGGCCCATGTAGTTTGCTAGCCCTAGGAAGGTTTGCAGTTCCTGGCGATTTGTAGGGGAAGACATCTGTTTCAAAGCAGAGACTTTGCCTGGGTCTGGCTGGACACCATCTTGGCCACAAATTACTCCATAGAATTTGATCTTCTCTTGCTTTACAAAGCACTTGTCAGGGTTTAGCTTAAGCCCGGTATCTATGCAGCGATTTAGCATCGCGTGCATGTTGCGGTCGTGTTCCTCTGTGGTCTACCCGAAAACTACAATGTCATCTGCAATTCCTACGACGCCTTCGCATCCTTCGAATGTTTGGTCTATCTTGGTCTGGAAAACGTCTTGAGACATTTTGAGCCCAAAGGGCATGCGCTTGAATCCGTATCTACCAAATGGCGAATTAAATGTAGTGAGGTAACTAGATTCTTTATCCAGGACTACGTTCCAGTACCCCCATTTTGCTTCCACGATAGAAAATACTTAAGGATCAGCTAGCTTTGGTAGGATTTCTTCTAGGGTTGGAGTGACATGATGTTCTCTCTGAATGGCTGCATTGAGGTCTTTGGGATCCAGGCAGAGCGTCAACCTCCCGTTCTGCTTGTGGCGGTAAACAAGGCTGTTAACCCACTGTGTGGGTTCGCTTCTTTGATCTTTGCAATAATGTCACTGTTTACCATCTCGTCTAGTTCCCTTTTGATGTCGTCCTTAAGGCTGATTGGCATACGCCTTGGGGGATGGACAACTGCTGGGACATTAGGGTCAAGTACTATGTGATATTAGCCTTGGAACTTTCCCACTCCATTGAAGCATTCGGGATACTGACAGATCAGGTCCTGTTTGTCCTTAATGGGTTGCTCCTTGGAAACTGTACTGTTGCGGGGTGTGGGGTCATTTTCCTCAATAGAAAGGTTAAGTGTCAGCAGCTTCAAGTCGGTGGAAGTCGGGAGGCCTATTATTGCTGGGCCTGGGTTGTCTGTGACATAGAAGGATGCTCGAGCGTTTTCCCCTTTGTAGGAACAAGGTATGGTAACAGTAACGTGATGTTTGATTTGTGAGTCGCCATAGGCAGTGAGGATAACATCCGAGGATGACAAGGAACCTGGTCTCAGACTTCCATGGTCGTCTAGGGTGTGCGGATACATTTGACGATAGAGCCGCATCGGGAGTATGTTGCCCTGTGCACCGGTGTCAAGTTTGGCTTTAAGGATGGTGTTCTTTTGGGTCTCCTGTGGCAGGTTTAGATTAATTGATACGAACACTTCATCTCTATAACGATTAGACTCTCTGCGCGAGACACCAGCTGTGGTGATTGATTGGAAGACAAGCGACTGGAATGCTGCTGATAATATTGATTCGGCGCTTGTCTGTGAGGCTTGGCTTCCGGCTCGTTCTAATGAGTGAAATCGTTGTCTTCGGGCTTTTGATCTACAGACTTCAGCAAAGTGGTTTGGCTTTTTCCAGTACAGACATGTCTGACCACGTGCTGGGCAGTTAGAGAGTGAATTGTGGGAGCGGCCACAGTTTCCGCATAACCGTGTTCCTCTTGGGGGTTGAGAGTTTGATGGTTGGGTTCCCTGTGGTCCTTTCCCCGTGTTTTGTTTTTGAACCAAGTGAACGGTTTCCTCAGAGTTATTAGTGCTACTGCCCGCCATGACAGATAGTTGTGCTTGAGATGCTTCGAATGATCTAGCAAGCTCCACCGCTTTATCGAGTGTTAGCGCGGACCCTTTACTTATTAGCTTTTCTCTCTTTGAGCGAGTTAGTGCCGAACACAATGCGATCGCGTATCATTTCGTCAGGATCTTTGAAATCGCAGTCTTGGGCGAGGATGCGTAGATCTGTGATGAACTTCTCCGCTGTTTCGGAGGAGCCTTGAACACGGCCGTGAAATTTAAATCTGGCGAAGACAGGGTTTGCTCTCGGACTGACGTGAGCTTCGAAGTGATCGTAATATGTTTTCAACTTACTCTTGTCCTCGTCGGTAATGTCAGTCCACGTATTGTAGATATCTCATCCCTTTTGTCCGACCCAGATAAGTAGGTAGCTGCATTTCTCGGCTTCTTGGCGTGATTTGAGCGGGCCAGAGAACATGGGCTCCACGTGCTGTTTGAAGCGACGCCAATTTTCTTTAAGATTATCACCGTCCCAATGCATTTGGGGGCATTCGATGCCGCTTAGAGCCATTGCTTTGTTGTTTTCGCTTTTACTTCTGACACCATGCAAAGATTCTGAGTCGTAACATACAAACTGTGTGGTTTTATTTTATGCTGAGCGGCAATATGGCCGAATGAACAGTAACATGAGCTTCGCAAGGCATCATGGCCAAAACACCGGAAATACAAAAAACGGAAGTGCCAACCGATTAAGGTACTATAGAATCATTACACACACCAATACGAAGAGGAGGAGTTTCATTAAAAACGGATCGATTTTAACAGGCTTCGGAACTGAGTAGATCAAAACAAAACGGATACATATCATTTTAGTGTGGACGGTCGAAAACGGTCAAAAATGAAACAAGGTCCATCAGGCTGGATAGAGTAGTATAGTGTAGTAAAGCTGTGTAAAGCTGTGTAAGGTACCTGAAGTTACATTATGTGTGTGTATGTTTGTGCATTGTAACATTCGGTACATTATAATTCCCCAGACATGACGTTTCTACCGTCCATGAAAACGAAAACGATGACCAGAAATATCGCAGGCGTGGGTGTTTGTAGCATTTCACCGAGTAGCGTTCAACTTAATTACGTTTCAACTGCCACTCTAGCGTTTTCGGTTTTCGAACGTTTTGGTGCATGTGGCAGTCAAAAACGCAACAAATCGGTTCCTGTGTGGTCCCGGTGTTTAGGCAATTTCAATTGTGCATTAAGAGTTGTGATAAGCTTTTAATTAAGTTATAAAAAGAACCACCGACGTCAATTTGCAGCAGTTTATTCAAGAGTCCATCATGCCAGACCGAGTCAAAGCTTTTTTGAAATCTACAAAACAAGCATAGATCTTTTCGTTGTGATTATGAACGTACTTATCTATCAAGGTTCGAAGAGTGAAGACGTGGTCTGCTGTGCGCGGTTATTCGGTAAAAAGCCAATTTGAGATTTGTGGAGTATATTCACAGAAACGATATACTCGAGAAGTCGTCGGTTTAACAGTCCAGAATATCCCTAAATTTAAGGACAGGGCCAACTGGTCACGCGACACTTTTCAACCAATGAGAAGGCGCGCTTGTGTTTATCAACAAACAAATCAAAACATCGCCCCGGTGATCAAAATTTTTCAAAACAACGGACAGAGTCGGACAGAATCAGTCAACGTTTCGAGGTTTCAGGCATATTTTTAAGACTTTTCATGAGGCATATACAATTTTTTTAAGTGGACAGCGTATCGGAAGCCATATTGGAACTGTCTCGTGAAATATTCAGCACATTTTGTGGCTTATTCTTCTTTTATCTTTTAAACAACGCGATGTATAGGAGAGATTTTGGTCGGCTTTCAAGGTAGGTGAACAAGTATCTATTATTTTTTCGATTCACAGATTTTTTACGAAGTTCTAAATATTTTTCCTCGATTGTCATATCGATTAACTTTTATCATGTTGAATGTGGGGGTGGCAGACAACCTAGAATTTTGGTAGACAATTTTTGAATTCCGAGGTCCAAAACACGTACGTTTTCCACTCCTGGGTTTCTCACAAAAGGCGTGTTATTACTTTTTTTCGCATTAGTACGAGCCTTTGCCTTTTTTCTTTTCAAGGCCAAAACAACTTTATTAGTCTTATGGATATTCACGTCCAACATCTCGCCTCACTTTGCCGAATTTGCGGGGATGAAATTGAAGATCATAAGCGCAAGGTAGATACTAACCGCATTGTTTTTGAAATTCACTAATCTGGAAAGATTTAATGTTGTTGGATTCTCCAAATGTTCATCCACCGTTAAAGAACAATCAAAGAAACAAGGCAAATCTCAATTGTAAATGCTGTATTTCGCTACTCATTGAACATGCACTGATTATCTGGGATAAAATTAAAACATTGCAGGTACTACAGCAAGCAAAGAAAGCACCAGATGCGTGAAGTCAACACGAAACAACACAAAAAAACAAACAAGAAAAATTAATAAATTTGAACTACTTTCTATTCTTGTTATGATGACTGGTTCTTTGATTCTTGTCCTGTAGAAGTTAATAGGTAGTACCAATGCTGTTTTGTACGATCTCAACAAATTTTCACACTCTCTCTAAGGCTATTTTTACAAGGGACGAGTTTGCTTGTATCAAAAATCTTGCGAGCCATGCCAGTGAAGCCACGACCTCTGCGATCGGTCCGGAATCAGTTCGAACACCCCAATGATTCCTTGCAATGATTAATGCTCTTATTCTCTTACATGACATGTTTTCTTTGAAATATTAAATGTGAAACCTAGACGAGTACTGTAAGCTCATCTTTAATTCTGTCCGACTCCGTCCGTTGTTTTGAAAATTTTTGATCACTGGGGCGATGTTTTGATTTGTTTGTTGATAAACACAAGCGCGCCATCTCATTGGTTAAAAAGTGGCGCGTGACCAGTTGGCTCTGTCCTTAAATTTAGGGATATTCCGGACTGTTTAAGATAGAACAAAATAGTTTTCCCAGGCAGCTGGAGACACAGATACACTGGTATTTTTTGCCGGATCGCTTCGTCCGCCCGATGAGTAATAAGACCACCACACCAAGTCTGTGGCATGGTCCCTTGGTTACGAATTGAATTAAATAATTTTTCACATACAGGGATCAGTGTATCAATACTAGCTTTTATCATTTCATTTATCCGAAAATGGTGATTTGTTATTCTTTAACTTTTCCGCAGCTTTACGTATTTGTCTTTCAGTTATCATGAAATCTAAAGGACGAGAGTGTTGACCATGGCATTCATTTTGTCGTTCCGGCTCATTGCAAATGTTTTGCTGCGCTGGGTTAAGAGGTTCATTTGAATGAAGATTGTGGAAATATTGTCCTTTCCTTTTCTAGTGTCGTCCGTCGATTTGAGGCATTGCCAGAAAGTTTTCGCGTCTGAATTGTCTGCAGTCTTTTCTAGCTCAGAAATCTTGGCATTGTGATAATCCTTTTTTGTAGACTCTGGCCCAATACAAGAAATTACTTAATTACCATGGTATTGCTCACGTATGGTAGTATTCCAAGGGTCTTGATGTTTCTTGTTTGCTAGTTTACCTAATTCATGCCTTTATTAGAAGATTAGAAGAGGTGTGATCACCAGATGCATGACCCTCTATCGAAGTTATGAACCAATATGAAAATCATATATGAGAACTTTTCAGGCTTTCTTTTCGAAACTGCAAAAGTTGAGTCTATAACTATGATGATCCTCTTTCATTATAATTCCCCTTATATCGCCACACATGTGACTTTTAGGGTATTACCGTACATGAATTGCATTAATTATGTATTATTAACAAGATAAACAATCTTTGACAGGAGGTGACATAAATAGTTTGTTCGGAAGCAAATCCGCCTAGTTTCGGCTCGGTCAATCTTGGACCCTACAGTGAGCTGTGACGTCAGACAACGGGGCAAAGAGAATGGCCTACTAGACTGCAAACAAATAATTGATATGTTCAGCAAAAAGATCACGTAAATCATTCTTCTCATTCGATGGATGTTTTTATGCAGTTCAAGAGATACAAGTACATGACAAGCCTAAGTATAAAGAGTTTGCGTTGCTTTCAAGATCAATCTTACTATGTATTGAACAAATTCTGTCGCGAGATTTAAGAACACAGCATTTTTATTCCCCAGACTACATACCACGATGAGGAATCACTAGCGGTACTTATAAAAAGAAAAAAATGCAAAATATAGGTGTTCGGTTATTTTTTCATAGAGGTTTTGCATCCTGTAAATTTGACTTTCTGCAACAACACTGAATTTCCACGCTAATTTACCAAGATCGGACGAAACACTTCTGAACAATAAGAAATTAAAGCTGACTAATAAGGAAAATTACACTGAGTCATGTCTTCAGCTAAATCAGAAAACTGGTGTCCCATAACTAGTAGAGATTGCGTTGCAGCTGAAAATCCAGTAAAATGCTACATCACTTTCCTTAACTCACTCCAATTTTTTCTGCAGCATACATATGTATCATTGGAGGGGTTAATTTAGATGTCACAAATTCCAAATACCATTATTTTTCTGAACTCTGTGTGAGCCGACTTTTGATGCGAGTCCATCTCAAGGGTATTGTTCCCTTAATTTGAATTGTAAGGAAAAGGATTGTTGTTTCGTCTTTGAGGCTTTCGAGATATCAGTTTTTCCTGTCAACAGAGCTTCAGCAACGAAGTCCACTGAAACTACCGAGCTCCTATGATGGACTCTCTCTCAACAGAGTTAATAGCTCAGTTATACCGCAATCCAAGTGAAATCAACCGATGGCAGACGGTTGTAATGAACGCCATTTTATTTTGGTATTGGATATGAAACAGCAAAAAAAAAAAGATAAAGAAAGAAAGGAAAGAAACAAAAAATTAATATTCTGACGACGTTTTTGATATGATCTCAGTATTATGACATTGCAAAGAAGGTTAAATGCTGTTGTATATAAAAATAACTTTCCAGTTGCGATCAATTGCCATTACTTATCTACAATACCTTATAATTTTTTTTCTTTCTAATTTTGTTTTTCGTGTTTTGCAGCATTTTTTTTTCGCCGACTGATTCGTGATTTAGTCGATGGAAGTTAACTAACCTGAATAACTCCCCAAATTCATTTCATATTTCGCTCTCTCGCTTGTCACAGAAAAGGAGCTGTCGACAAATGCAGTTTTTCCATGAATGTCTTCCAGGTCGATACGCTGTTTATAATCACCGCTTACAGTCAGCCGATGTATCTTGTCCAAACCGAGCCAAAACTCACCGTTCAGATTACCACAACCACGTTTGTAATCATCCCAAGCGCGGAAGAAATCAACAGAGCCATCTCGCCTCTTCTGAAACACTGTCCAACCTCCACCGGCTGTTTTCTGATCACAGAACACTTCAAATTCGCCCAAACGATCGGGATTAATTTTATACACTCCACTGATCTTGTCACCGGACTTGAAGACTTCAGCGCAGTTCTTGTAAACTGAAAACAAAATGACGATCCAATAATTATTATTTTGTTTTTATAGGCCTTATATTCTTCGGGAATGCCTTCAATAACTTTTTGACGAAATGGTCTTATAACTTATAAAGAACTCATAAAACAAGAATAGTATTTCCGCGACATTTTGCGAGGGGTTTTGACGGTATTTTAGTGAGATATCGATGACAATGAGGATCCACTTGGTTTGTTCATCTACAGAGTACAAATTCGATCAAATTATATCAACCGCAAGCCATATCCTCGCTGGCGCACGGAACGTCGTCCGAAGGGTGACCAAAGGCCGTCGCCCGAAGAGCGACCGAGGCACAAAGTGCCGAGTAAAAAAAGGACAAGCTTTCCGTATTTTATACTGTAAGCCGATCTTGTGAGCCCTCAGTCTCTTGGTTTGCGGTCAATAGAATGTGTAACGAAACAGTAACGCGATCAAAATAACCCATTTTTTCCGAGGTTTTCGACGGGTTTTGATGTTCTAACAGCAAACACCTCTCCTCTGGACTCTGTGATAGCATCGAGTGCAATGGCCTAGGAAATCGCCTTTGATTTGCTTTGTTACTATGGGGCTTCGCAAGCAAAAAGAAAGAGAAAGAAAACAACGGGCAGCGGCTTCATGCCAAATGTTAGAAAGATTTCTGTCAAAAAAGTCGAAAACAGGTGAGGTATCTTCAGAGTTAAATGATAGTTCAGTTCAGAATTAGATGCAGCCATCATTACAGACTACTCCTGCTACGGACACCTCACCCCCCAGTACAAGTAACGGTAAGTTTAATTTTGTGTGACACTGTTAACATTAAAGGTCCGTTTTAAGCGAAAAAGAACCCACCCAGGCAAAAACCAGCCTACGGGCCTGAAGGGGGTGAGTAGTTGAGATTAGTTACAGTAAGTTGCGTAGCAGAATTCGTCAAGTGATGCTGTAAACAAGACATAAGAGCTCCTGTAAAGATTAAAGAACAACAAGATGTAAACTCAGATACCTGGTACCTCTACTTTCAGCGAGCGAGTTGCTCGTAAACCCCCTACAATAGGTTCTAATTTTTAAACAAGATTTTTCTCGTCTGTGTATTTTTAATATGAGGTGCTGTGTCATCTATTATGACCAATAAAATGATTTAACATTTACATAGAGCATCGCGTGGCCGAAAAATGAATATTTGTTCATGCATCATAATGTATACTGGCATACCTTTGCGTTAGAGATGTTTTGAGAAACAGAACTGTGACTGAAAAGTAAAATCTTAAGTTTAAGTTTTACACTGAAGAATCTAACGAGCAAAATATTTCTGTCAGTTTATGGGCAAGATGCTGAATCATCAGCACTTGTTGGCGTCCGAGTTCCTCTTTTCATCTTTGCTTGAGCATATTTCACTATTAGTTTACCTACTGTTGGAATATCTCATGTTTACCTTTTAAAATCTTGCTTCGTCCGGCCTTGCTAAACTACTACTATAGATAAAGATGATTCTTTCCTTTTGTTCTAAGTTTTGCGGTCACTGCCAGAATACCCCCGTAGCTGGGAGAATATTTATAGGGGGAGAATACACTCTTCAGTTGCCTCAACTATTCGTGTGTAGCCTGGGAATACAAGCGCCTGTTAATGCTCCCTTCCGCTAGGACTCTTCGCGAGTGGCAGTGAGCTATACGAAACGACTGTATTAGCAGGCTGCAATAGCTCGAGTAAAACACAGACAAAAACGCAAAACCTAGAGCAGCTTTGACCACAATACATGTATATCGAATGAAAATCTCATTGTACCACCGTGATCCACACAGTATGCTACACACCAGCTACGCTTCCTTTAGAATACTTTCAAGATTCCCGAAATTTTAGGCTGACCTATTCCCACAGAACTACACCGAAAAGGAACTCGTGGAGAAAGTGTTTACAAAAGAACGAAAGTGTAAAAGAGACTATAGCAACTTTGCAAACGCGATTCTCTCCGACAGCGTTCTAGTCGAATGAGACACATTATTTATCATTATATTTAAAAAAATAAATGCGACCGTGTGGTTACTGTAAGTCTAATGAAAGCACTCCGAAGAAAATGCTTGTCTTCTGTGGTTGGTGACAATTGGCAAATTAGACGTTGAAGCTTTATCCCCGGAAAACCGAGTATTAAATTATAAAATTGATTTACTAGCTCCTTTTGCGAAACGCGAAAGTCAATGGGTAAAGGAGACGGGCGGCTGGATCCACAAAAAAAAAACAAAGGAGAATTCTAGGGACAAGGGAAGTTAGGCAGTCGAAAATTTGTGGCTTTGCACCACAGGAACACCAAGATCAAGATGCGTTCTGACGAACGCGAACAGAAAAATCCTTTCTTTGTCAGAAGCATGCATATACTTTCTGCCAGAATATTTCCATATTGGCAGGGTTTTCTGAATAATGTCAAGAAGGAGACTTTTAGATCAAATTTTGCGTCTTCTTGAGTACTGTACATTCTTTGTAACCTCGTTAGCGTTTTCTTCCCTGGATAAAAAAAATCTGGTGATATCTGTACCTTATAAAAAAGAGAGGTGAAAACCCACAAAATTGTGTTTGAGAAATGAATGTGTTTGTGGCAGTCACTCTGGAATATTGGACAATATTGAAACAAAAGAGAGCGTTAAAGAAAAGATTTCAACTCCCACGGGATTGGTTTGGTACATCAATTTCGCCTTCGTGTCATGGGTAGGGGTCACAGTTTTTGTTTTTCGAAGAAGAGAAGGACGTGTGTTTAACAGGTGAGGAAAGGGGAGGCCATGAATTAAAAATTCCCCAACCCCTCTCTCTCCACCCCGCCCCCATCAAAAAAAGTAAATAGAAATGAAAAATACACGCACCTCCGTTTTTTTCAGGAGTAGGACTGTTAATAAGGAATGAGATTCAGGCTTCGGGCTTGTGACGGGGTGAGTGTCTGAAAACAAATCAGGCATTGTGAAGCGCAAGGCATCCTGCAGCTTTATTGCACTCGCTCATAGCGAGTTGCAGATTTTCAGGTCCAAAGCTAAGCTAAAATTCTGATCTCTTCTCATACTCATATGAATTCTAAGAGGGCTAGAACCCAACCGCTATGTACAACGTTATAAACAGCACCACGGGAAAGTACTGCTTGGTACCAGTCATTTGAATGGTCATACTTTGGAGTTTTACCCACAGACTCAAAAGATAGAACTACCTTGTACAGCATCATAAACAGTGCCACAGGAACGTACTGCTCAGTAGCTTTCATTTGATCAGTGGTCACACTTTAGGATTTCATCAAAAGACGAAAAAGTGAGAACCGCCTTGTACAACATAATAAACAGTACCAAAAGAAAGTACTGCTCTGATTGGGTGAAAATTTGATTTGTTCCATTAATTTTTTATATAAACAATTCAAATACATAAATTTAATCAACTGATCTGTTTTATTGAAGCGCCTCTTAGTTACAATTTGGTTAATTAAGCATGAAACTGGCTTTTTTCAATACATTTGTCTAGAAGACTATTACTTAATTTTAACTGTATTACGACTTCCAGAGGCATACGCTTCACTTCACACAAAGTCCCAGCCATGTTTTAGAAATTTTGGGGACGTATCTTCATCTCAGACGTCTTTAAAGAGTAGTAGTTGTTCTTCCAGTGGTACCAGGACATTCCTTTAGAGTCGTCCTTACCATTGAGGTACAGACCATTCAGATTGGAGTAGTGACAATTGTTGTACCACCAGCCGCCTTTATAACTCAAGGCACAGTTACCACTGTTCCTGTCACTATCGCGATCCTTGGTAGAAAATAGCATAGCGCGATGAGAGCCAAGCGAATCACCAGCGGTTCCTACGAAAAGAAATAAAAAAGGAAAATATAGGTCTTACTTTTATCGTTCATTTTTCGGAGAGTTTTTGCAAACGGGTAATTTCACTTCAACGTAAACAATGTCCACGTTCATAGTATTCCAGATTGAACGAATTTCACGTATTTTTTCCTTCATCTGTTGTTTCTTTTTTAAAGCGTTAGATGGCTCCTATAATTTAATAGCTTATGAAGTCAGTCGGTAAATAGATATAAAAAAGAAAAGAAAAAAGAAACAGAAAAATCATCATTTTTACTACTTTTTGATATGATCTTATTTTTGTAAATAAGGTCAATTCTTGTTGTAAAAATCAACGATAACTTCCACTGTCCAATTGCAATCAATTGCACCAAATTTCTTTCTTTCTTTTGTTATTGTTGCTTTTGCTTATCAGTACTATTTTAATTTGCTAATCGAGTAACTTACCTGAATAACTTCCCAAATTCAGTTGATATTTCGCTCTCTCGCTTGTCACAGAAAAGGAGCTGTACTCGGCAAATGCGGTATTTCCTTGATTGTCTTCCAAGTCGACACGGAGTTTATAACCAGCGCTTACGGTCAGACGATGAATCTTGTCCAAACCGAGCCAAAACTCACCGTTCAGATTGCCAAAACCGCGTTTGTAATCATCCCAAGCGCGGAAGAAATCAACAGAGCCATCCCGCCTCTTCTGAAACACTGTCCAACCTCCACCGGCTGTTTTCTGATCACAGAACACTTCAAATTCACCCAAACCATCAGGATTGATTTTATACACTCCACTGATCTTGTCACCGGACTTGTAAACTTCAGCGCAGTTCTTGTAAACTGAAAACAAAATGACGATCCGATTGAATTATTGTTTTTTTTTTTGTGGGCGTTATTCTTCAAGGTAGACATAAATAATTTGTTGAGAAAATAGTCTAATGAAGAACTTATTCAGCGACATTTTGCGAGGGCTTTTGATGGCATTTTAGAGAGACATTGATGACAATGAGGATCCACTTTATTTATTTGTAGCACAAATTAAGTTGCTGTTACAAACCTTTTCCGTTCACAGACCCAGTAGTTTTATTTTCTCTCAATGCCCTGATTTCTTGTCGTATTTCTTCCAACTGCTGCTCGATTTTCTTACAGTTTGGACCGGCGTAGAAGCTGTTGTAGTTATTATTCACATTGCAGTGAGCTTCCCTCGTCGGTTTAACTGTAGAGTTGGCAAGTGTTGTGATAAAGTAAGCAAAAAGGACAGCTCCAAAAAAATATTTCATCTTAACTCTTATGAGCAGTTTTAGGAAAGAACGTGATCTCACAATGGCAGTGAAAATTTTAGAGAAGAAATGATACGAAGCCTTCCACAGAGCCTTGGTATAGGTTCTAAGTTCTAGACAAGATTTTTCTCGTCTGTGTAATTCTAGTATAGGTGCCGTGTCATCTGTAATTACCAATATATTATTTAACATTTGCATAGAACATCGCGTGGCTGAAAATAAATATTTATTCATGCATCACAATGTATACTTGGCTGCATACCTCTACGTTAGCGATGTTTTGTGAAACAGAACTCTGAAGAGTAAAATCTTAGGTTTAAGTTTTACATTGAGGAATCTAACGAGTAAAATATTTCTGTCAGTTTAATTTATGGGCCGGGATGCTGAATCATCGGCACTTGTTGGCGCCGCGTTCGTCCAAGTTCCTCTTTTCATCTTTGCTTGAACATACTTTAATATTAGTTTACCAACTGTTGGAATATCTCATGTTTACGTTTTAAAGTCTTGCTTCGTCCGGTCTCGCTGAACTACTGCTGTAGGACAAGTAAGTTTTGCAGTCACTGCCGGAATACCCCCTTACCTCAGGGAAGGATGAAGTGGATACTTATAGGGAAAGAATACACTCTTCGGTTGCCTCAACCATTCGTGAGTAGCCTGGGAATACAAGCGCCTCTTAATGCTCCCTTCCGCTGGGACTCTTCGCGAGCGGCGGTGAGCTATTAGAAACGACTGTATTCGCAGGCTAGCTCGACGAGTGCAACACAGAGAAAAACGCAAAAACTGACAAGTAGATTTTACCAGAATATATCAAATGAAAATCTCATTGTACTATCCACACAGTATACTACACAACTGCTCTTCCTTTAAGATACTTTCAAGATTTACGGAATTTTGGGGCGACCTATTCCCACAGAAATGTGCCGAAAAGGAACTCGTGGAGAAAATAGAGAGTTTAATATACACCGTTTCCGTGTACCCGTACCCGTTGCTGTAAATACAGGTAGATTATTGCCTCTTACCTGGGAGAAACGGGTAGGCTACCGGGTAGAATGGTTACGGCATTTTATCGCATCTGGGAAATAATGGTTGCCTTTTTAAAACTACGAGGTAAATGTGTTCGCTTACCGGTACCCGCAGGCCGAAACGGTGTATCTTAAGGTCACTAATGTTTACGAAAGAACGGAAGTGTAAAAGAGACTATAGAGATTAACAATATTGTCCCCGGCAGCGTTCTAGTCAAATGGGACAATTATCTATCATTGTATTTAGAAAAAATGTGACCGTGTAGTTACTTTAGGCTTAATGAAGGCACTTCGAAGATAATAACTTGAAGCAAAGTTCTAAACTAAACAGCAAGACTTTGTAGCTAAGTATTTTTTGGTGTCTTCTGTGGTCGGTGATAATTGGCGAATTACACAAGCGTTAACCCAGGAAAACCGAGTTTTAAATTATAAAATTAATTTACCAGCTCCTTTTCGGAAACGCAAAAGTCGATGGGTAAAGGAGACGGGCGGCTGGTTCCATGAAAGAAAAAAAAGGAGAATTCTAGGGTCGAAGGAAGTAAGTACGCGTGATTATATATAGGTCAAGTGTGACAACGTAGTATCCTTTACTATTCCTATTATGTCCGGTGAATAACTCTGTTGTTCAGTTTGACGTTTTATCAGTTAATATAAGAAAGTGACAAGCACAAGTTTTAAGAGTTTTCTTTTAGAATAAATTTGACTATGAAATGAACAAATTCTATGGCGCAAGATAAGAACACAGCATTTAATATCTAACCTTCCGACCACACTGACGCTCTTGAAAGTGGCCTGATCAAAACAAAAACCCATACATATCGGGCGCTCTCGGCTCAGCAAAATGTCTGGTTTAAATTTTCGGCAACTTCCAGGAGCGAATGGAACAGCGTTTTCCGAAATTTTCAAAAAAGAGGACAACCTCGCGAGGTATACCCAAATTTTCGAAAAATTTACGCCGAAGTTTTGTTTCCAATTAACTTCGCTCTCCGAATTTCTAAAGTCTTTGGTTGAATGGTTCGCATTTCGGAAACTCAACAGCTTTCGGAATTTCTGGAAACTTTTCCGGGAAATTCTGTTCCATTTGCCGCTGTTTCTAAATTAAATTTTCCAAAGTTTTGATTGAATGGAAAGCGTCCATCGTATTGGTGTGGACGGTCAAAAAGGCATCAAAATAAAAGCGATGACCAGAAATATCGCAGGCGTGTGTGTTTGTAGCATTGCGCCGAGTAGAGTTTAACTTACTTCTCGACGAGCAATAGACCTCTTTAGCTTGTATGTTCTGTTTTCCCAATACAGGTCATGTGATAATATTCTAGAGAATTCTCCTTTCAAATTTCATGTTATTCACGTACATATATCTATGCATAAGTTATGAAAAGAAAAAGGATCATATTCCCCTGGGACTTCTATTAGGAAAACAAAATATACCAGCTAAAGAGGTCTATTCCAACGTTTTCAAACGTTTTGGTGCATGTGGGAGTAAAAAACGCATCAAATCGGTTGATTGGACGCTTATTGATCTATGCGTTTTCGATGACAACGAAAACGCATCTTTTTGCATAAGAGTGGACATGGCCTAAGAATTTCAGTTTCAATTCCTATATTGCTCTTTATAACAAATTAGCAAACTTTATTCAAAAATACTCATGGGGGTCCTGTTTTATTTTTGCGGGGCTGCCTTTGGGCATGTAAATACATTGACCGTCCCCGTCCACTGCACCCATGCATTTGTCGTTCACCAGGAGGAGCGTTTGAAACAGATTATCTCTAGACCTCCAAAAGGCAGGAGCTTCAATTACTGCTCGACATTCAGTATAGAATTAAAAAATCTTTTCACTTCACTCTAGGTACATTAAACGTTGTAAAAATCTTATAGACAGAAAGAGAGGACCTGATGAGCAAGAAGCTTAAGGCACGGTAATAGAGGTATAAAAAAGAAAAAAGTAAACGAACCTGTACTGAATATCTTGGGTGAAAAATCAAGAACAGATTTCGTTCATCAAAAGGTGTAAACGACGAGGAGGATTGACAATAGAGATAAGAATGGGTGTGATCGCGAGATGCATCCCCTTTATATCGCCACACATGTGACTTTTAGGAAATTACTGCATATGGACTGCATTGAATATAACAAGTAATAAACAAGTCGTTCACAACTTTTTACAAAAAAATAAACTGCTTGGTAGACAAGCATGCCCCAATGATAACTCTCTCCAAGCGCAGGGGAAAAATGTTGTCAAAACCATGGATTACCAAAGGTATTAGAACTTCAATACGAATAAAAAAATAACCTTTTTTTAATGCTGATTGGGAATATTATAAATTATACCGAAACAAAATAACTACTCTAACGCGTCAAAGCAAGAAAAATTATTATGAACGTTATTTTGAAGAAAACATTAACAACTCTAAAGAAACGTGGAGAGGTATAAATGATATCATCACAAGAAAGGCAGAAAGTGATAAAAAGCCAATACACCGCCTTGTTAACTCCAATTCGGAAACGATATACAACCCAAAGGAAATAATTAATTCTCTTAACACGTTTTTTGCAACTGTTGGACATAAGTTGGCTTCTTGTATCCCTTCCTCGTGGCCAGATCTTGATTTTATTACTTTTTTAGATCCGCCGATACAAAGTTCTTTCTACTTTGACCTTTTTGTCCCGAAGTCGAAGATGAAATCAAAGTGCTGCCAAATAACAAAGCCTATGGACTCTATTCATGCCCAGTCAGTATTTTGAAATTGTCCAGCCATATTATCTCTCAGCCCTTAGCTCAAATCTTTAATGTTTCAGTATCGTCAGGCTCTTTCCCAGCTTAACTTAAAACCGCCAAAGTGGTTCCAGTTTTTAAATCAGGAGATGAATCTAAGCCTGGAAACTATCGACCAGTTTCTTTATTATCAATTTTTAACAGAATATTTGAAAAGCTGGTTTATAAAAGACTTATTAAGTTTGTTAATAAACATAATATATTATATTCATGACAATATGGATTCCGCAGTAGGCATAGTACACAGCACGCAACTCTAGAAATCCTAAATAACATTCTTTCTAATTTTAATAAAGGCCAATTCACTTTTTGTTTATTTATTGACTTGAAAAAGGCTTTCGACAGGGTTAATTATGATATTCTTCTCTCAAAACTCCAAAATTATAGCTTCAGAGGAGTGGTGAATGATTGGTTTAAGTCGTACTTAATTGGTCGTAGACAGTATACGACTGTAAATGGTTATATTTCTGATTGTCATCAAACTCTTTGTGGAGTACCACAAGGTTCCGTTCTGGGACCCTTGCTTTTTCTCTTGTATATTAATGATCTATATAAATCCTCAAATAAGCTTCAATTTTACTTGTTCGCCGATGATACTAGTTTAACTTATGCAAACGGAGATCTTAAAAAACTTGAAACTGAGATTAACGAAGAACTTTTTAAAGTATGCTCGTGGCTAGTTGTCAATAAATTAACCTTGAATATGGAAAAAAACTAACTATATCATCTTTCGTCCACGCCAAAAGACTATTCCTTTTCATTCTAATATCAAAATAATTAATAATAATTCAAATACCAGTCAACCGTTAGAAATGAAAAATTATATTAGATATCTTGGTATACTCATTGATTCGAACCTTTCATGGAAATTTCATGTAGATTACTTTTATCAAAAAGTCAGTAAAAGAATCGGAATTATCGCAAAGCTTATTAGACATTTTGTTTCCCGTCATGTACTTCTCACTTTATACCGCTCTTTAATTTTGCCTTATATCAGTTATGGTATCTGTACGTGGGGTCATGCTGCTGAAACGCATCTTCATAAACTACTGGTTCTCCAGAAGAGAGCCCTTAGGCTAATGTTCTTCGCTGAACCAAGAACTCATACAGTTCCGTTGTTTTTAGAAACAAAACAGTTGCCGATATCGTTATTGCTATTTGAGCAAATGAGCCTTTTAATTTACGACGTCCATAATAATCTCGC